AAATTTAAAATAATAATAATAATAATAATAATAATAATAATAATAATAATAATAATAATAATAATAATAATAATAATAATAATAATAATAATAATAATAATAATATTTTACCACGGGTTATTAAATTTAAAAACAAACAAACAAACAAACGAACGAACGAACAAACAAACACTTTCTCTTAATTTATTTAAATTGACATAATAATATTCAAATGAATAAAAATGATTATTTTATTATGATAAAATAATTTATTATTATTATTATTGCTAAAAAAAATTTATTAATATGACGACATCATCATCAATTATCAAGTTATTAATCTGACGTCATCATTTGAAAAACAAACGGAAAAAAATAATTTTTTAAAATTAATCTTAATTTATTAGGATAAGAAATTATTAATAACGATCAATAAATTTGTCAATGGGCTGATAAAAAATGGGGGGAGGAGGGGTGAGTGAGATGGGTGTGAGGGGAGGGAGGGAAGGGAGAGGGGCCGAACGGTTTACGAACGTGTTTAAACAATAAAAATATTATTTAAGGTAATTATTTATTTCGTTGGAAACGTTTTATTTAAAAAAAAAAAAAACATATTGAATCAATTATAAAAACGAGTGAGATCAACTTTTAATAAAAAAAAAACACGCGTGCGTAACGTAAGGCTCCCCCCCCCCAATAAAAACGCGAGCGTAATATGCGCGTTCACACATTTATATTTTAATATTTTTTTTTTTTTAAACGAGGCTTAAAAATAATATTTTTATATAATTGATTCCACGAGATTCGACTCAGTTTAAAACTGACTTTGCAAGTGAGAATTTGTTTGTTTTCTTCTTCCTATTATTTTTAAATTATTATTATTATTTTTTGTTTGTTTGTTTGTTGTGATTTGAGTGCGAATTTAAATTGAAAATTTTTTATTTTTTTCGTTCGTTTGTTTGTTTTATTTTTTAAATTAATTGTTACCATCGTTGATAAATTAATTTTAATAAGTATTTTTATAATTTTTTTTAAAAACTTATAATTATTATTATTATTACTATTATTATTATTATTTTTTTTAAATTAATTCCTAATGAAAGCTTCAATTTAGAAGTAAATTATTTATAATAAAATTATTTAATAATAATAATAATAATAATAATAATAATTTATCACGTCAATTGTTGTTATTATTATTATAATTAATTTTTTCTTTTTCATTGCCAATTAATAAAACAATAATAATAATTATTATTATTTATTTATTTATTTAATGATCGAATTAATAATAATTATTAAATTTAACGAGTTTTAATTAGTTTTATTAATTTCAAATTATTTCTCTCTCTCTCACCTAAGTATTAAAATCAAAATTCAATAAAAAAATTTGAGCAAAATAAAATTTAATTTAATGTTTATTAACAATAATAATAATTATTATTATTTCTACTTAATAACAATAAATAAAAATTCGAATATATAAACAATTTGGTAACTATAAACATTTCGTTTCTTTTTTTTTCTTTTAATTGTTTAAACAAATTAATTTTAATAAATTTTAATGAAAAAAAAAAAAAAAAAACGACTCGAATAATTTTTTTTTTCAAGCTACTTGTTTAAATGAGCTACCAAAATCGATCAATCGATTAATCGATCAATCAATACTAAACGAAAATTTCCTTGTTTAGAAAAAAAAAACTTAATAATAATTAAATATAATAATAATAATAATAATAATAATAATAAAACCGCGGTTTTCTGTTGTTGTTGTTGTTGTCGTTATTATTAGGGGGATAAAGTTTTTTAAAATTTCTGTCGGAATCGGTTCGAAATTCTATCCAAATTTAATTTCCCCCCAAATTTTTTTTTTTCTCTTTTTTGTTCATGATCTCCCCCCCCCTCTCTCTCTCTCTCTTAATTAAAAAAGGAGGAAAACTTTGAAAGAATCGATCGACATTAAACGCGAATTCGCAAAATGAAATTTTATTTCTATTTTAAAAATTTTTTATGGATGATCGCGTTATTAAAACCACGGCCCCCCGGCGGGGGAAGGGACACGGGGGGGGAAGAGGGAGGAGTGTTCGAACGACTCGAAAAAAATTTATTCGAAATATCGTCTTAAAAAATTCAAATCAATCAAATTATATTTTTAATACACCATCGACCCCGTTGGAATGAAACTAAAAAAACTAAATTAAACCCTAAAATTACACTCGCATACCCGTATTTTTATCATCATCATCATCACCATTACTTTAAATCTAATAATAATAATAATAATAATAATAATAATCGGTTATGGTAAATGAGATTTTTTTATTTCGAATCGAACCAAACCTTCCAGTTTTTATACGGTCTATCACCGTAATTAAATTATTACCACCGTTGAAAAAAAAAAATAATTTTAACAAAATTATTATTTACTAGTATAGTAAACTATTTATTATTATTATTATTTTTTCTCCCTAAAAACTAGTTTAAATAATTTTTTTTTTCGGGGGGAGGGGGAGAGAGAGGGGGCGAAAGAAACGAATGGATAAATCAAAAAAAAAAAAAGGAAGAAAGAACAAGAAGAAGAGGAGAGGGAGAAAAAAAGACAAATCGGCCAAAAAAAAAGTAGAAAAAGTTCCAAGAGAAACGGGGAAGGGAGGAAAAAAGGGAGGGAGGGGAGGGGAGGGGAAAAGGACATAAAAATAGTAAATAAATAAGATTCCTTATCAATGATGATGATAATAATATAACCGATTTTATAAACCGTAAGGTAATAATAACAAGTCTTAGACACGGGTAATGGTAATGGCAGCCGTTAAAATTTTTTTTTTTTTTTTTTTTTTTTACCGTTTTTACCGTCTCACGACGACGAACCTACTTTATATAACATTGACCTTATAAGGAAATTTTTATAAACTAGTCATTACACGCACACACTCACACGCACACGCACGCTGCGACATTTTTTCTTACATATTCGCGACGTTTTCTCGTAGTAAAAAAAAAAAAATAATAATAATAATAAACTTGAACGTTTTATTATTTTGCGGATTTCCCGATTTCTTATCAATACAAAAAAAAATACTAAATTGATAACTAATGACACTGACCCGATTAATAACTTATTTAACAAATAATAATAATAATAATTATCTCGACGACTTTATCAATCATACAAGGATTTTAATGATAATAAATAATTAGAGTCAAAAAAATAATAATAATAAACGAAACATTACTTGGGGATGATTAATGATGATGATAAAAGGTATTAACAGGGGAAAAACGAAAACAACGACAACCAAAACAACAACAACAACAACAACGACAACCACGGGGCAAATTATATAACCAATTAAAATACTTCTGAAAATAAAATTTAAAAAAAAAAAAAAAAAATGAAAACAAAAAAAAAATTAATTAAACTTAAATAAATAAATAATATACAAATAAATAAACAGAATGCAAATGCCACCTTATTATTAATATTATTATTATTATATTTATAATATAATGTGTTAAAATGTATATATATTTATACGTATGATGCATTTTTTCGAGAAAAAAAAAAAAAAAAACCGTCATTTTTAATTTTGGTTAATACGTATGACAAAAAAATATATAAATGACGTCAGAAATTTTAATAATAATAATAATAATAATAATAATAATAAATGGTAAACGTGAAGAAATTACCTAAAAATAAACTATGAAATTTTTATTAATTAATGAATGATATTTAAAAGTTGCGTCCTTTCCCCTCCCCTCCCCTTCCTTCTTCCCTCTCCTCCTCCCTTCTTCCTCCTCCCACACACCCACCCACCCACACACGAACACACACTTGCATTTTCCTTTTTTTTTTTTTTTTTTTTTTTTTTTTCGTTTAAATCGTTCGACCTCCAACAGCGAAATAATTATAAATAAATAATTGAAAAAAAAACAAAAACAAAAAACTTCACCGGAAACGATAAAAAAAAAACTCAAAAATAAAAAAGAAAATTAAAAAAAATTTTTTTGTAAAAATGCCAGCGAATTTTCCCGCCCTTTTTTTTACCACAGCAAAAAAAAAAATATAAACATTTTCGGCCCACTTTTAATAACGTCATAGCTCATCATTTATCACTGTTGAAAAAATAATAATAATAATAATAATTTTCTTTCATCCCACGTGACTTTTTTTACAGTAAAAAAAAAAAAAAAAACAACAAAAACAAAAAAAATAAAATAAAATTATTATTAAAAAAAAAAAAAAAAAATTGAGAAAAAGATGATTTGTTCACTTTTTGATTTATCATCATCATCATCATCATCATCATCATTTTTTTTTTTTTTTAGGTTTTTAATTATACCTGAAAATCACGGCGTCGGCGATTCGAACCGTAAAATAATTCTTGTGCGCGTTTTCGTCTATGAGTAAAAAAAAAAAAAAAAAAAAATAATTAAAAGAAAAAGAAAAAAAAATTCAATTTTCAAACCGGTCATTGATTATTATTATTATTATTATTATTACACCTCAAAATTTCAATTAATTTTATCATTATTATCATTGTTTTATCACACGCTTAAATAACAATTCCAAAATTCGCACCGCTATTTTTTTTTATTAATATTTTCCCGATCATTGTTTTCGATCGTTTTCATCTTTCAAATTATTATTATTATCATTCATCGTTCGTGAAATTATCACCTTTTTACCCCCCCCCTTCTCCCCTCCTAATCAATTTTCAACCCTGTTTTTCTTTTTGTTTTCCTTATTACATTCCGAAAAAAAAATCATTCGATTCATTCGTCGCACATATACCGTTTTTCCTTTTTGCTACAGTATCATTCAATCAATCATTCATTCAATCAATCATTCAATCAATCAATTCATTATTTTATTTATTTATTCAACAGATTGTTTGTAATAAGAATCCTTACCGTCGGCCGAATTTTTCCAAGACTAAATGGAAATTGTGAGTATAATTTTTCATCATTTAAATTTCCCGGGAGGGAAAAGGGGGAAAGGGAGAAGGGGAAAGGGGGGAATGCGTCACGTGTTGAAAATGTCTTTCACCGTAATTTCTCATGCCTTTTCACTACAGACAGAACCTCATTTTCCCGTCCGAAAAAAAAATTACCTGACATTGACATTCGATTAAAAAAAAAAAAAAAGAGTAATAGTATAATTGTTCATAAGGAAAAAGTGAAAGTTAAACATGTGAAAGTTTTTTTTTTTTTTTTTTAAATTGATAATAATGATGATAAACGATGAATGTGAATAATGAATTGAAGAGGAGGAGGGGGGAGGGGGAGATGATGTTTACCACCAACTGATAATTGATAACCTCATCAAACAATCAAAATTAACATTTTGAAAAATTAATTATTATTATTATTCGATGCGAAATTAGTATTAAACGTGACTAACGACCGAGATATGGGATGACGACAAAATTACTTATAATATCATTTTCATTATTTCCCCCCTTCCCCCCCCCCATTCCCTTCGGGATGAATTAATTCGTTTAAATTTTTTTCTTTCTTTCATGTTTTTCCTTTCAGTTTAGAAAAAATGGTTATTTGGTACTCGAAGACTTTTTCACAGAAGAAGAAGTCAGAGAAATGAAAGATGCTGGAACGAAATTAACCGATGACATTCCAGACGAATCAAACAGAATCGTTTTTACCGATACCGTTAAAGTAAGAAAAAAAAAAAAAAAGCATTTTTCCAAGTGAAAAACCAAAAGCAAAAAAAAAAAAAAAGCGAGGAAAGCGTGCCAAAACGTGCAAAGAAAAAAAAAAAAAAAAAACGTAAAGCGAGAGGGAGAAGGTGAATTAAAGGGATTTTTTTTTGTTTTTTTCGTAACGTTCCAGGTAAGAAACAAATACTTACTGGAAAGCGGTGATAAAATCAAATGTTTTTTCGAATCGGGCGCTCTGGATAAAAATGGTAAATTATTGGTCGATCCGAAACACTCTCTCAACAAAGTAGGTCACGCTCTTCACTGGCTTCACCCCGTTTTCAAAAAATACACTTTCTGCGACAAAATAAAAAATCTTTGTGACAAAGATTTGGATTTGGAAGATCCCAAAGTCGTTCAAAGCATGTACATATTTAAAAATCCAAAAATCGGTGACGAAGGTAAATAATATATATAAATCACGATTTCCTAATAAAATCTCTCTCTCTCTCTCTCTCTCTAACTCTCTCTAACTCTCTATCTCTCTATCTTTGTTTATACGTAGTTCCCTATCATCAAGATTCTTCTTATTTGCACACGAAACCGGAAAACAAATTAGTCGGTTTTTGGATAGCATTAGACGATGCCACCGTTGAAAATGGATGTTTATGGTTTGCTCCGGGGTCACATAAGAGTGGAGTACATAGAAGGTATATCAGGAATCCGGATCTGGCATCGGATGATCCTTTAATATATACCTCACCGCAACCGTTTTATCCATCATCAAATTTTATTCCGGTTCCCGTTAAAAAAGGTAAAATAAAATAAAATAAAATAAAAATTTTTTTTGGTTGTTTTTAAAGGGAAAGTTAAAACGTCAAATTTTTATTTTTTTTTTGGTGTACAGGTACTCTCGTACTCATTCACGGTTTGGTTGTTCATTTTAGCGAATCGAATAAAAGTAATTTATCTAGACACGTGTATACATTTCACGTGGTAGATTTCGACAAGACTGTGTATTCGAAAGAAAATTGGTTACAACCGACGGAAAATTTACCCTTTAAAAGTATTTACGAAAATTCGTGACGCGTCACATGACACATTTTCACGTGTCCTTATTGGTTTTTCGTTAAAAAACTTCCCCCCCACCCTCCCTCCCTCCCTCCCCTCTTCAATGACCGATTTCGTGTGATTCTTATTAAAAAAAAAAAAAAAAAAAAAAAGAGTCAATCAACTTACCAAATTTTTTTTTCCAAATTTTTTTTTCTGTTTTTTTTTTTTTTTTTTTTTTTTTTTCCCCCCGTTTCTAAACCAAAAATTTTTTTCTTTTTAACTTCCGCAATAACCTCTTTCGAAAAATTCAACTGCTTTGACTAAATTCTGACAAAAACTTTTGAATTCATCTAATGAACGCATTATTAAAACTCTGTAAAGAAAAATAAATAAATAAATAATTAAATTAATTTTTTTTTTTTTTTACTCGTACGAAAACGAAAACAAAAAGAACATTTATTTACCTTCCTTCGCCATTTTTAAAAAAAATAACCAAACACCCGGGCAATCTCATTTTCATATCGTTTTCCATAAAAGGCATGGATTGTATGAAAAAATTACTCAAATTAACAATTTCCGCATTTGATTCGTTCAAATTTTGTAAATTGAGTTCGAAAACTCTTTCGATCATAACAATTAATTTGACTATTTCGTCGTGTCTTTGCATTAGTTCAAATTTCACGTCGTGATTATTTAAATTATAATTAGATCCCGCGGTAGAATTCATCAACATTTTCGAAATATTTTCGCTAAAAATCAAAAACAAAAAAAAAAAAATTAAATAAATCTTATTATACAAAATTCCGTAAATAAAAATTTAATCATCATGATGATGATAATAATAATAACCCAAAATTTTGAAGAGATTCCCAAACGTGTCTAAATAAATCTTTGGCATAATTAAAATATTCTAATTGTGAAATTTGATCGGTTGACGATGTTTCAATGGAATTTTGTCCGACATTACAATTATTATTATTATTAGAATATAAATTTGTATGTTGAAAATTGGGTTCTGAAGATTGCGAAACGAAATTTTCATCAGGTATGTCAGGTGGTTTAGGTGGTAACTCGAATTTATCATCCTGAAACAAACACAAATAATAAATTCAATTTAAAATGAGACAACATTTATATAATGATTTATATTAAAAAATAAAATCACTTTTGATGAAAGCAAATCTTTGGAAAAATTTGAAAAATTTTTCAATATGGAATCGATGGATGTCAAATAAGGACGTTTTTTAGCTTGTGAATATTTTATTTCTTCTATTAAAGATTGAGCAATTGTAATAACACCAACAGCCGTTGAATTATTGACTAAAAACAAAAATTAAAATTATCAATTGAATGTATTTGGTTGAATAATAATAATAATTTGATAAAAAAATAAATATTACCATATTTTGTTTGAAATATTTTCGAACGTAAATCTTCGAAAAGATTTAAAATTTTTTTATTAAAAATAACAAAAAAAACCGATCTCCAATGTTTTATTATACAATCTAAAACATTTCTTAATGTCCAGGGTGGCTTCTTAAAACAAACCAATAACCATTGATTGTCAAAAGCTAATTTCATTTCCGTTTCTAAAACCTAATTGATGAAAAAAAAAGGGTTATTTATTTTTATTTTAAAATAAAATAAATTATTAAGATAATACTAACTTCTGAGAAAAAACTTTTCAATATGCAATTAAATTCATTCATAACATTATCGATTTTTTTATCGTTTTCCTCATCTTTGCAATCGTTTACGATTTCATTGTTTATTATTTTATCACCCTTTAGAACATCTTTGAAAAATTTATTTTCGAAATTTTCTTTCGAATAAACTTCAACGTTGCTCACCAAAGCTTTCGATTCTAAATTTTTATCATTCGTTATGAATATCTAAAATAAAAAAAATTTTTATCACCCTTTTACGATTCGAACAGACATTTTTTTTTGTAAGGAATTTATAAATCTCACCACTCTTTGTTCTTGGTACGTGTTTTTTAATTTAATGCAAGTTTCGAGTATTTTATCGTCTGCTGATGATTTTTTATCAATGTTTTCCAAATAATCTGTGTATGATTGACCACACAATCTGGGATGTTTAGCTTTGAAAAAATTATTTAAAAACGAAATTGCTTTTCTTGCGTTCATTATAAGATTTTGTTTTGTAAAATCATTTTTTATACTTTTAAGATGATCTAATTCTTGAAGAACACACCATGGAATATATAAAATTGGATGGATCAATGCTAAAAAAAAAAAAATTTCCATTTGAATTATCCAGATATTAATAATCATTTGAAGTATTTTAGATCATGGACATACTCATGACATTTATTTCTATCAATTCTGCGATGAAATCTAATGATGATATGAGAACATTCGTGTCAACTACTATCAACTCGAAAATACTTTCAGATAATTCCATTGTTGTTATATTCGATTTCAAAATGGAAAACTCATTCAAATACTCTTGACTAGAATTCATTTTAATAGAACTGTTTTTATTCTGCAAAAGAAAAAAGAGAAAAATTTAAACCGAGAAAAAAAAAATATGTAAAGATTACCAAAAGAATTATTCTCACATTTTTGGTATCGAATTGCACATCCATTGAAGGTTCCCAATCCATTTCTTCATTAAAATTATTTACTAATTCTATTTCAACCTTGTTTATTTCTTGAACTTTAGATGTTTCACAATTTTGAATATCATTTTTGCAAACAAGTTGTGAAGGACATTCAGAAGATTCAGGTACATTTATTGATTTAACAATTTTAATGTAGTCGCTTATGGATGGTGTCGATTTAACAGAGTCGACGGGTAGTTCACTCGATAAAATATGATTAATTTCATTTTTAATTTTTTCACTGACATCATTTAAATTTTTTTTTTTGCTTTTTTTTTTCTTTTTTTTCATCGTCGCTTTCGTTAACAAACTTTTATCATTTAATATTTCATTTTTACTATTTTTTTTAATGCTCGTATTTAAGTTACGACTTTCTAAATTGTCACAAATTTGACTTAATTTACTATTATTTCCAATGCTTTTAATTTTCTTATTTTGAACATAATCTGAATTATTACTTGCATTTAAAATCTCCTTGTTTGAAACACTCGCCTTACTTGATTTGCTACCGACTTCTTCTGAATTTTTCTTTTCCTTTTTCCTTAATTTTAAAAGGTTATTTAATATTAAATTCTGTTTTTGAGTATCGATTTTTTTCTTTGATAAATTTTTCAATTCTGAAGGTTTATCTTTTAGTTTTAAATTTTGTTTGTCAGCAGTTTTCATAATATCAGGACCAATATCTTTATCCATGTTTAATTCGCATGTCGAATCTTTATTGCTTCTGTAATTTCTTTTGAAATTTGTTATTTTTTTTATTTTAATAGGAGGTTCTTTTGGCATTTTAACTGTTTCTTCTGTGAATGAAGGCAATTTTATTTTTTTTGTTATTTTATTTGCTTTTGATACCTGGGACAAAAAAAAAATTAATATATCAATTAAAAAATTGATTGATAATTGTAAAATTGAGTTAACGAGAATAAATCTGCACATCACTAATGTAAGAATCACACGCCATTACTATAGCACTGTTAATTATTTCTTAATTTATTAAATTTATATTTTAAATGAATTACCTCGTTTGGAACTTCCCATGATGAACGTTTCGTTATCGTATTATAATAATATGTTCTATTCGGATATTTTTTAGATTGCAAAGCAATCCATTCAGGTGGTAAATTCAATCTTTTTTTCTTAACAACCTCTTTACTGTCAGCCATTATAATTAATTGTATTTACGAAAAGGCAACTTTGTGATAAATATATATACGTGATAAATTTAACAAAAAAAAAAAAAAACATGCACTAAAAATTCTTGAAGATGTAAGATGTAGTTCAAATTCATTAGAACTATTATATTGAAGATAAACAAAAAAAAATTAGGCTAAAAAAAAAAAAAACGTTACTTGATGTCTAATAAAAATGATCGGCACTAAACTATCGTTACAAAATATAATATTAAATTTCATTTTTTTTATTTTTTATAATTTCTTTTTGTGACATTTCACAATGAGTAACATTTATTTTTGTGAGAAAAATAAAGAAAAATAATAAATAACTTGTGCCTACGTTGAATTTTTATGTTTTATCGTAATTTTACAATATGGCGACAAAATTTTTAGCGCCAAATTATTAAATTAAAAAATCTATAGACACTTTTTTTGTTTAACGTTCACGTAACGTTCGCGAATTTTTGTTTAAAAAAAAGAATGGATATAAGAAATAATTTTTTAATTAAATATTTTATGATTGTAAGAATCGAATATATTATATATATATACTGTACAAACCTTCCTTCTAAAATTTACAAAATTATTCATAAAATAATATTTGGCACAATATAAATTAAATAACACATCTATATAACAATTATTTCGTAATAATAAATAAGAAAAAAAAATTAATAATAATAATAATAATAACTGATTGCAGAGTCGAAACAAAGGTAACTTGTTTAAGTAGCATTGGATCCGTAGGTACCCGTTGGTGGTCGGTACAATCGTGGTAAAGCCAAATTTTGTAAACTATTTATCGCGTATTTTCTAACTCCAGTATTTTTAACCGTATTTTCTCGTCTGCAACCCTCGCTGTAAAATCAAATCAAATCAATTTTTTTTTTTTTTTTCATTACGTTCTTTTTAACGGTTTTTTTAACGGTTTTTTTTTTGTATTTACCTTCTCATGCAATCGAGCGAACTTTGAAATTCGTGTTCGGCTAAATCATACTCGGATACTAATATATTAGCTTGTTCTAATGTGACAGACATTCCAGTTCTATCTTTAGCACTTTTACAACTGGTAAATCTCAATCCTAAGACAAAAACAAAATTTTAAAAATCGAAAAAAAAAAAAACCAATGAAAATTTTCAACAATTAATTTTTATATACGAAACCTTTGACTTTACGACAAATCCGGGCTGACAAATGTAATATTTGTACGTTTTTACTTTGTTTTGAGTGAACCGTTGTGCGAAGAGTTTCTATCATTTCCGGTAATGTGCTTCCGGGTGCCAAACGTTTTTCAAAATGAATATCTAATTTCCTAAATAAAATCCGCCATATTTAAAATGAATTATTTTCTTTCAAATTTAAAGACATTATAATATTTAAAACGTACTTAAATCTATGATAATATAAATTTAATCTTTCGAAATTATCAACGTTGCTTTTATCCTGTTGTTTATTATTTCCCAACGATTCGGCCAGTGTTGCCATTTCGTTGATTCCGACGTTGAAAAAAACCGGAGTCACGTGAAAAGAAACGCTCGAATGTTGATCGTATTTTAACGGAACCATAGAGTATACGGTATCGGGTACGGGTAATAAAACCGTGAGTGCCGATCGAGTTCCAACAACTCTCGGAACGGGTATTTCATCAGGTACTCTGAAAAACATTGTTTATACAAAACTTTTATTTCGCTCAAAAGAATCAAAGAAAAAAAAATTTCAGTATTATTATTATTAATACTTTGATTTTGTAAAATGTCGAACGAGTATAAATTTAACAGTTGAAAGATCTTCGATGGCAACCGTCATGTCACCCCACATGTCGATTTCGTCACCGTGATAACTGAGTAAACCTTCGAACGAAACCAAGGGTCCCAACGATGACAATACGAGTAAAAAAGTAGGATCTGGTTTTTGGCACCATAATTTGGCCATGATTCCAGTGACTAGTGCTGTTAACTGTTTTTAAATTAATTTTGTTAGTCGCGCGATATGAAAAAAATTTTATTTTAACGGTAAAAACTTACAGCTTGAGAAAAACAAACGTCACGTCGGTATCGAACGTTGCAAAACCTTAAAACGGATCTTTTATCTTCTTGTACGCGAAATATGGAGTGAGTCAATCGAGCCGTTTTCAACAGTCCATCCATAGCTTGCCTTAATTTTTTCATACTCGGCCTCAATTCGCACGTCCAGTCTTTGATCGAATCGAAATCCAAACCTAAAAAAAATAATAATAATAATAATTATAAAAATTCCGGAAATTCGAAAATGTCAGTAACGAAAACCGGAACACCTCCTCACCTTCTGTGAATTTATTCCTAATTGACGAACCGTTTTTGAGAGGTAAACCGGAACCACCATTCACGTTTTTAGATTTCGACTCGATCGTTTTGCCACTAACGGTATCGGAAGTTGCATCCTCATTTCCGTTTTTGCTCTCTCGAAAATCAGACGTGGCTATTCCGTGAGCGAGCATTCTTTTATCGTTTCCGTTTTGCATATTGCTTATATTAAATTTAAGAGACCTCATAGTTTTGCAATTATTGACTTTTTGTGATTTGAGTCTGACGGCGGGACTCCCGCAACGTCCGCAAAGAAATTTCACCTGAAACAAATAAAATGTATAATAAACCAATTGAAGCCTTCACTCCCCTCCCCCCCCCCCCCGGGAATTATAAACCCATCGATCGCTACCTACCATACTAACTAAATACATAACACTAGCTTCTATATTAAGTTGAGTTAAATCCCATGGCTCTGGTTCGTCCGTTGGCTTGTAATAATTAGCAGAAGGAGAACTGCACATAACTTGAGTATCTAAAAATCGTCGATTAACTTCGTCACCATTTTTATTATTATTATTATTATTATTATTTTTATTATTATAATTATTATGATTACTGTTGTTATTATTATTATTACTATTATTATTAATGTTATTAATATTATTAATATTATTAATATTATTACTTTCGTTTGTATTATTTTCAATTTTTTTACTATTATTCATTTCGCGATTTTTATTTGAATCCACTTTTGATAAATTAGACATTTCTTTTTCAATCTTCACATTTTCTTTGGCTTCATCATTCGATAACGTCGTCAATATTTCGTCGAAATCCCGTTCGGTTTTCCGTTCGGAAGACACGTGAAAATCTTGCAAGTGATTTTTTTGATAGGTGTTAAAATTATTGACTTCGTTTTTTATCAAATTATTCCGATACTCGGAAGAATCATTCGAACACCATTGATTGCACGGACTGTCCGGAGTGACCAAATCGTCGGCTTCCGGTGATTTAAATTCTAATTTCAATTGTTCGGTGATTCTCCTGCCAAGAGAGCAAAAAAAAAAATTTTTTTTTAGCGGGAGGGGGTGGGGTGGGGTGGGGGGAAAGCAGAATAAAATTCGCACGAGGAAATCTCACCTGTACGGTGACACAGTTTGCGGAAACAACGAATCATCTTTCAAATGATACCCGTCTTCAACGTTAATAACTTTATTTTCTTCGAAAAATGTCAACGCCTCTTCGACCAAACCCGAGTCCCAAAGACTTAAAAGTGTTCTCGTCTGCAATGCAACATCACGTGTTTTATTAGGGCCTCTACTAAAATACTAAATGGAAAATAATAATAATTACTTTAGCTATCATTTCATCACAGATGGGTAACATTCCGGCCGTTTGTTTCTCTCTTGCCAACCTCATGAGGGCTTTCATTCCATCGACAACCTCTCGCCTTAATTGTTTTATAGCTTGAACCGCATCGTTGGCCATCATTGTTTTCGTATTTCCCGGTGTGTCTACTCCCTTCGCCGGCGATTCTTTAAGACTATGCAATAACCTAAATAAAATTAAACAATTTTTTTTTTTTTTTTTTAAATCCATTATTATTTAACTTTTCTCTTTTACAATTCAAATCTCACTTAATCAATCCTCCATTTTTGGATTTGTGCGAGTGCGCGGCAAAAGCTCCAACGGTTATGACGTCATAAAACCCACATTTTTTCAAAGAATCATTTTGTGCCCACATTCTTTGAAGGTGAAGATTCGTCGGTGCAAACTCCAATGAGAGATCGCTTTTTCTTGAGCTCGGTTTAAAGTAACCTCCTGACGATTATGATGATAATAATAATAATAAAGGGAAAATTAGTTTATTTTTTTTTTTAGAGTTGGTTCAACAAGATCAGATTTTTAAATAAATAAATACCTTTATGTGATTGTAAATTTTCTTTGGCTTGAGAGTATAAGTGAAGTAATTGAAGATGTCGGTCTAATAATTCGATTTGACGTGAATGCCAAGGCTCGCGTAATTCACCCATTCCAGAAACTTCTTGTAAAAGTTCTTTTTCTTCTTGAATCCAAACATCTCTAAATAACAAAAAAAAAAAAAAAAAAATTTTCCCGAACAATATTCAGCATCCGCATCATTTTAAAAACTTAAAAGACGAAAAACTTACAAAAGTTGTTGCGGAAATAAAAAACAAAGTTTGCTTTCCGCCATTACTTCGTGAACGCTTATGTCTCCCCCCAATCCAGAATGAAACCTATAAGTACAAATAACTGGATTGGCAAAAAAAAGAGTCAGAGGGCCTTGGCATGGATATTTCATGTTGGTGTTGAGCCGAGGTGGAAGAGATTGAGAACGGCGATGACCCAAATCCTGTACGGTAAAAAAAAAAAAAAAAAAAAAAAAAAAATTTTATTATTATCATTATTATTATTATTAGAAATTCAACATCGAAAGAATGGTTAAACCAACCGAAGGATTATTACAAATCGGAGGTGGTCTACTCGGCGTTGATTCTGTACTGCCACGTTCTTCCACTTCAAGATTCCACACGACCATTGTTAAAAATCCGACCGTGGTACCAGCGGATGATCTGCATTTATAAAAAAAAAAAAAAACTTTAATTTATTTTTAATTCCCACAAAATATATTTTTTTTTAAAAAAAACCTAACAACCTAAGAGGTATCCTTAATTTTTGGGATTCTTGTATAGAAGACAATGTAATTATTGCTTGTCCGAGAGGAGCAGCCGTTTGCGAAACTTTTTCCCGTACGTCGAGAGCAGACAGTCGAACTCTGGTATCCGATGTTAGGCCGTCGCTGTCACGAAACGTGACCGTAGTTAAAAAGCACGGATTGCTACATCTCTACAAGAAACAAAAAAAAAAAAATTAAAATTATTACGAAGTAGAAAAAAAAGTCTCAACTATAAATTATTATTATTATTATTTATTCATTCATTTACCGTAATGACTTCCGTTTTGGCATATTTTATCCAAACGTTTTCGGTTGGAAGAAAAACGTGGACTAAAACGACTGGATTTGGTGGTCTCCCGTGACCGTCGCATAAAAGATTATCGCATGAAATTGACACTTCGCATATTGGCACTTCGCTGGGATCTAAAAAAAAATTGTTTTTTTTTTTTTTCAAATCAATTAACCAATAAAATCAATCAAATCGATGATTCGTGTGTGATCATTTTTTCACGGGAACATTTTTTATCCATTTGATAAAATCTTATTATTAAACAATTGTCAAACGATAAATTTTTCTTTTGTCATTAAACTCGCATTCGAATCGGTTAAACGAACGACACAATGAACGATCGTATGAATGAATGAATGAATGAATGAATGAATGAATGAATGAATGAACCTTACCGAGACCGTGTACTTTTTGAAGTCTCCACATGTAAACATCCAAATGAGGATCTTGTCCTTTTCGCAATTCCAATTGTTCTTGTAGGATTTGCAATCGATGTTTCATGGCATCGTAACTCGTTGTTTGTATCACATGCAACCAAGAACTCCTTTCTTGATCTGATGGAGCCGCTAAATATTGACTTATTCCCCCGTCGAAAACTGTAAATTATTAATAACCATCACCCCGCCATCTTTAAATTTTTCTCGTACGTTTACAGAGAAAAAAAAAAAAAAAAAAAAAAAAAAGTTTAGTTAAATCATCCAAATACTTTTTTTAAGAGTATCGCGTGAGCTCTGATAAAATTATTTTTAAGAGAAATAAAATGAGAGAGAAAAGAAATAGCATGTAAGACAGTCATTCGTCTCCCCAAAAAAATAAAAACTTCAAATATTTATTTATCTAATTTTTTTTTTCAAACTGCACCAAACTTTCCTTCTCCGATTCGATATAATGTTGTCGAAGAAGAAGAAAGGAGGAAAAAAGGAAAATGAATTTACTTAAATTTCCTTTTCTTTTCGTTTTATATTATTATTATTATTATTATTATCTTACAAAAAAAATCTATACAATATATTGTTGTTTTTCTTTTATGCTCACCTAAATAAAATCCGTAGAGTCCATCAGGAAGGCTGACAGGTGAGGGATCGATTTTGACGGTGCATTGCTCCAAAACGATGACTCCGAGAGGTTCCGACCATTGATCCCGAGATTTGAAATAGAACAACAAATTACCACGAAGACGACACCATCGTTCCAGATTCACTGCGATATTTCCAGAAAATTTTTTTTTTTTTTAATCTGTATTACAAAATTTTCGCGATGATATTATTTATCAGCGGAAACCATCACCATCGGCATATGATTAATTAATAAAAAATTTAAAATAAATAAATAAATGAAAAGCAACAACAAAAATGAAAACCAAAATTATAAAATTTTTTTTATTAAAAGCGAAAACAAGAATTATTACGGTTAATTAATTGTGAAAATTGTACAAGTTTTTAAACGTGTCACGAGACAATTAAAAACAAAAAAAAAATCTATTTATAAATCCAAATGTGTTTTTCTTTTGAAAACAAATGTTTCGCCGCGCATTTTCAGTCGAAAAGGAAAGAAAATTTTTTTTCTTTTATTATAAAACCTTTAATGAAAAAAACGACGACGTTACGCCATTTTGAATTAGAAATCTCGGCATTATCAAAAACTACTACTTAATAAAATAATAATAATAATAATAATAATAATAATGTCCGCAACGTTTTTTTTTTCTTTTTTTTCTACCAATTAAAACTCACATAAATTAAATCCAAGTGTTTTGTTATTATTTCCATCGAATAAATAAATTATCCTCCGCCGTAACGGACTGTGTCAAATCGCATAAAACGCTTTAATACCAATAAAGAGGGAGACAGAGAGAGAAACCGAGGGGGTGGGGGAAACGAGATGAAATAATAATAACGACAACAACAGCTTTTAATTATATGAATCCAAAAAAAAAAAAAAAAAAAAAAAAAAAAACGGACTCAATTCAAAAACCAGATGCATTTTCCCATTCGAAAAAAAAAAAAAATTTTTTTTTTTTCCGTTTGATTTACGAGTTAAACTTACGAAACTGAATTTATTGCAAAATATTTTTTCATTAGTGTAAAAACTTTTCTCCCTCCCCGCTCTCCCCCAAAAAAAAAAATTTTCTTTTTTTTGATTATTAATATTTATCATCGAGACTTCAACTTCTTCATCGAAAGAGAAAAAAAAAAAAAAAAAAAAAAAATACACACACACAAACGTAATTTCCCGATGGGGAAAAAAAACCTCGTACGAAAATGATCTTCCGGGAAAAACAAATTCATTTTGAAAAACTCAAACCTAAAACATTTTTCCCCGTATCAAAATCGATTTTAACCGAAGAAAAAAAGATGGAACAAAAATACAGAAAAATAAAAAAACGACAGAGAAAAAATTAATAGAAATTATTTTTTAAAAAAACCCCCCAATTTCCGCAAAATGGCGTTTAAAAAAAAAACCAATCGAGGTACGATTCGAAACAATTAAAACAAATTAAAAAAAAGAAAGAAAAAAAAAAGAAAAAAAAGAAACAACCTCATGTGTCGTTGGAAAATCGGGAAAGAAAAAAGAAAATTAAAATTAAAATTCTCCTTTCCCTTTCTCCTCCCCCCCTTCTCCCGCGAAAGAAAAAAAAATCTCGGAAAAAAAAAATGAAATTTATTTATTTATTTATTTATTTATTACTCTATGGAATTTAATTCTAATTTTTTTTTTATCGTTTTGCGTTTCTATTAATAATTAAAACAATTGATAAAAATTGAAATTTAAATTATTAATTCTTCGCGTCATTTATTATCGTTAAAAAAAAAAGTAATAAAACATTTTATTATTGTAAATATAAAAAAAAAGAAAAACGGGAGAAGAAACGGAAAGGGAGGGGGGAAGAAGAGGAGGAAAAAGGAGGAGGAGGAAAGAATTTTCTTCTTTTCTATTCATCTAACGCCTCCGAAACAAAAAAAACAAAAACAATGCCAACCATTTTTTTATGTTTTTGACCCGACAAAAAAAAAAAACTGTTAAGTAACAGTATTCGCAGCAGTACAGTTTTTAGTACACACGAAAAATCAATCAATCGATCAATCATTATCGATTTATTGAATTTCTATAATCTAACACGAACTAACGAAACCGCGTTGAAATTTCTTTAAACCGCAAAAGGATACCGAAAAAAAAAAAAAAAAAATTCACGGTGGAAACACTTTTGCTCATCCAAAACAAAAAACAAAAAACGGTAAAAAAAAAAAAAAAGCCGAAAATAAATTAAAGTCACGACAAAACCTGAATGTGACACTAAAAATAATAAAAAAATGGTAGGTATTTTCTTTCTCGTCGAGAGTATTAATAAAACGTGTCGACGTCTTTCCACCCCCCCCCCCAGCTTATTATACGAAATAAGAAAGAGGAAAGAAAAAAAATACGAAAACTCCTCAAGAAAATAAAAACCAGAAAATGATAATAGAAAAAAAAAAAAGGAAAAATTGATGGGAACGAAACGGGAACGAGAAAAAAATATATTTACGAGCATTTTTCCATATCTGATTTGCACTTGAAAGCATAAACAAAAAAGGGGGAAAAAATGGGGGGGGGGGATTAAAAGGCGTTCGAAACGACCGACTAATCAAAAAACAACAACAACAAACTAATTAAAACCTCGTTCGTATCGGCATCAATTAAACAAAAAAGGCAAAAAAAAAAAAAATTTTTTAAACAATTAAAATTAAAAACTTCATCGTCAATCATCAATCTACCGGAAACAATTTTTTTTTGAAAATTCATAATTTGATGTGATGTACCTTAAAAGCTTTTCCCCCAACCAACGAATTTCATCAATTAAAAAAAAAAAAAATTGACTTTAAGGTTCTCTCTTTGTAAGAAACGATAGAACATTACTTATAAAAAATTAATTGAGTTCCTCAGTCTCACTGGAATAAGTTTTTTCCTTCCTCCTCCTCCTCCTCCTACTTTCTTTTTCTAACTGGAGAAAATGGGGGGAAAAAAAAATTAAGAGTGATGAGTTTGATGACGATTCGAAACGACGTCGACATCGTTTTTTTTTTTTTTGTACCGGAAACAAAAAGAAATTTGAAACTTTTTACGAAACACCGACAAAAACAAACGATTGAAACAAACAAACAAACAAACGGAGTCAATATTATTGTTTTTCCCAATTCGTAAACAAGCTCATTGTGCTTCGCGTGTATGTTTTCATTCCGGTAAAATTCTAGAAATTCCGTTTCGAAAAAAAAAACCTTTTATATTTCCGGCTACGACTCAAACAATTAAATTTAATTAATTAATTAAATAAATAAATAAAAACCAACAACAACAACAACCAAAACAACCATGACAAACACACGATGACGGACGATCAATATCATTATCATACGACTTAATCGTACGTGAATTTCTTACAAAACCACGATGAAATCTATTCAAACAAACAAAACAAACAAACAAACAAAACAAAACAAACAAGACAAACACAACAAAACAAAACAAACAAAACAAACACGTAGGACGAGAATTAATAATACTTATTATCGTATAAAGGAAAAATTATTAGCCTGTAAATTGCTGCTGACCTCACCGAATGAAAAAAAAATTTTGCGAAACAAAAATAAATTTTCCACGCTTTTCCTTCTTTCCTCTCCTTTTCTTTCCTCTTCTTCTTCTTCTTCTCTTTTTTCAAGTATAAACTCTCTCGAAAACGACGAATGGAGAAAAGGAAAAACAACAAATCATTTCTATGTTAAATTATAACTAAAATTTTTTTTAAAAAAAATGTCGTCGTTGTCGTCGTCGTCGCTGTTTCCCGAATGGCACATTAAAAATCATCTTCATGTAAAAAAAAAAAAAAAAAAAAACTATTGTAATAAATTTCAGTGTCAAATTTTTCCATTTTTTTCTCTACTTATTACCCGGAAATGAAAAAGGAAAAAATATCATTTTCCTTTTCCGTTATTCATTTTCTCTCTCTTTTAATTTTTCCGCCACCTGGTCCGACGGAAAAAAAAAAAAAATAATAAAATTGTTTTTCCGGCCCGAAATAACAACATTTGACGACTTTTCTTTTTTTTTTTTTTAAAAACCGACTTAAAAATTTCCCGTTAAAATTTTCCAAGTATTTTTTAATAAAAAAAAAAAAAAAAATTTTTCCTTTTTGAGAAAATTTGAGTTTAAAGACGCGAAATTAAAAAAAAAAGGAAAAAAAAGGAAAAAAGGAAAACTCAAATTTATTATTATTAAATAACGATTTGTGTCAAAAAAATTTTTGTTTTTGTTTGATTTGAATTTTATTATTATTATTATTATTAGTATTTTTTTTTTATTTCCTGCAACACGCTCGTAAGAAATTAAAAAATCGTTTTAAAAAAAAAAATTTCGAAAACTTTAATATTTCTTGTGGGGGGGGGGGAGAGAGAAATCGTTAAAAAAATTTTTTTACTCATGTTCGCATCGGGTTTTTTTCTTTCAGGTATGACGAATCGAAAATTTTT